TGCTAGATCAAACAGCATTAATACAGACTGAAAATGCTTCCCAGATGCTGGCATTGATTGTGATCTTTCTTTTTATTCTTTTTTTGTTTGTTAACAGTGAGATCTGAAAGAGGAAAAATTAAAAAAAATAAATCATGGGGGACCACATGAATGTAGTGACTACCAAAAAGCTGGAAAATGAGACATTTGAAAATTTATAGTTATGAAAACACCAGTATCATCTACATAACGTTCTGTTGCATATTGGGAACAAAAATACATGAAGATCTTGAGTATTTACAAGCTTGAAACCAAATTTTTATTGCCCAAGCTGGTTAGACACAGGCAAGTCCCCACGAGGAGAGCTGGTGGTTAGATGTGTCACACTGACATCAGCCACACCAGGTTTTTCCAGGAGCACGTGGCTGTCCTGCTGACTTACTGGTGCAGTCCCATTTTAGAGCTGAAATCCAGCACTCTGCACTGGTGTGGTGTGAGAGCTTTGCTGGTGGGGTTGGGTTGGGTTGGGTTGGGTTGTGCTCCCAACAGAAGCAGCACAGAGCTGCTCATCCTGTAAAAACAGGGAGTGTTCAGCCAGACCTTCCAAGTGCAACCCACCAGTGTCATCAGTGTGAGCTACAGGAAGAGGAGAGGTCCAGCTACATGTGACTTCTGTGGTTCAGAGGAGTAACTAACACCCTCTCTGGCCACCCCAACCCCATGTCTGAGCTGTGCATGAGCTGAGGAGAAATTAGGAGAAATCAGAAGACTTCCCATCACCGATGAGGTGTCCAGAGCTGTTTTACCCAGAGTCCAGTTTTACTCCTCTCTTCTGTTGCCAGATGGGATACACAATGAGGGGGATTTTAATTCTGCTCTCCAGAACTGTTATTCTTATGGGGTTTCCATCTCCTGGAGGCTTCACTGTACATGCCCAGTTGGTCCACGTGGCAGCTTTCCCCTGGAGGCCAGTTGGTATTTTGGAAGTCATATTCTGCAGTGAATTCCTGGCTGGAGATTTGCCTTGCTGTGTTTACTGCTGGCACATACCACTCCAGGAACATGATCTATGAGCCTTTGGAGGTGCCTGCTCTTGTCATACCTGTTTCTTCCCATTGTTAATCTCTAATCAGAAGATTTTGCACAGGGGGGAGCCTTGGTGTCCTGCTTTTTTCAGGCGAAGAGCCAAAGCTTTGAGGAGCAAGGCTGCAGTGTTATTTATCCATTTGGTGCAGATTCAAGTTCAAGATCTGTCCAAATAATCATCAGAAAAACCCCAGATGGTTCCAGCGACGCCGTTTGTTGTAGCTGCCCTCAGAGTTCTGCTTTACTAATGCCACGAGCTGCTTATAGTCACAAGACAGTCACTGAACATTCCTCTCTTTTCTCTTTTTAAGGAGCAGAATTTATTGTTCTGACTTTCCAAGTACTTCTCCAAGATCAGAGGTGAAAGAATGTCATTTACAGAAGAACCATTCCTACGAGTGCACATTTCAGCCTATTTTTCTCTTATCTGGCTATACCATGTGGATAGAGTTTAAGCACTTCCTAGGAACACTCGAGTCCTCTCCAGCTTGTGTTGTTCCAGCAGATGTGGGTAGGTCCAGATTCGTGCACATCTCTCTTCACTTGTCACCTTGGATTTCTTTCCTTATGTGGTGTAGGTAAAGTACTCCTTCACAGCATTTTAAATAGATTAGATTGTGGAAAGAACATAACAGAAGAGTTTTGATACTGTCTTCTAAAAGGCATTGGATTAAATGTTGTTTCCTTGTGTTTTGCTTGGCACAGGAGTAGGTTGTAACTCTAGCTGATACCTAGAGAATGAAACACCAGTTTTGTGTGTTTGTCCTCTTGGGTGTTTTGTGATGATATCTCCAGAAAATGCAAATATTATATTTTAAACCCCTCATTTTTAAGGTTCTTGGTTGTTTTATTTTTCTAAAGTCTTCGATTAGTTAATTTGATGCTTTAACACAGTGTAGAGCTTTGTGTGTCACTCAGTTTTACATTTATTTGAAATCATACAAACAGTCTTGGAGGGTCTTCAACCACCAGAAAATGTACAAAGTGCCTCTTGGTATCTGTGAATCAGAGCATTCACTGGACTCTGTATTTTTTGGAAACAAATGTGAACCTGAGTAGAGAGAAAACATGGCAATGAGGCCACAGAAGTGCTGCATGACATAAAGTGGAATAATAAAATACATCTGTTGGGGAGGGGGGAGCATGCAAACAGAGAACATGAATTAAAGCAACCTAGCCTCTGCATCTCACAGTTTATTAAATAGAGTGAGCAAAAATCACACAAAAATCACAGGGTGGAGAGGCAAAGTTCAGTGCCTTGTAGCCACGTGGGGAACAGGGGTTGTTACTAGCATTGCTATGGGTTTGGGGGCCTGGTGGCTTTCAAGGTTGCTCCTGTCTAGTTCAAAGAGGGTTTTTTGTGCCTTTTTGACAAGCAAGCTCCCTGATTATCAGAGAAGTTTTGGGAGCCCCCAGCATCAGAAAGGAGGGTGGTGCTGAGGGATGGCAGGTGGAGATCCTGCACTTCTGCTGCTTCAGTGGTTTGCCAGAAGCTGGCACCTTGTCAGCATGGCAGCTCTAGTGTTACTCTGTCAGGCACAGAATCCCAGAATCAAGAATGGTAAGGGCTGGAAGGGACCTCTGGAGATCATCTCATCCACCCTCCTGCTCCAGCAGCTCACCCACAGCAGGGTGCCCAGGATGGTGCCCTGGGGGGTTTGGGATCTCTCCAGAGCAGGAGACTCCACAGCCTCTCTGGGCAGCTGCTCCAGGCTCGGCCACCCTCACCCCAAAGAAGTTTCTCCTCCTGCTCAGGTGGCACCTCCTGGGTTCCAGTTGGTGCCCGTTGCCCCTTGTCCTGTCCCTGGGCACCACTGACCAGAGTCTGGCCCCAGCCTCTTGCCCCCTGGGGGCCCTTTAGCTCTTGCTCAGCACTGCTCAGATCCCCTCTGAGGCTTCTCTTCTCCAGCTCAGCAGCCCCAGGGCTCTCAGTCTGGCCTGGCACAGAGATGCCCCAGCCCCTCAGCATCTCCACAGCCTCTGCTGGACTCTCTCCAGTAGCTCCTTGTCTCTCTCGAACTGGGGAGCCCAGCACTGGACCCAGTACTGCAGAGGTGGCCTCACTGGGGCAGAGCAGAGGGGGACAAGAACCTCCATCGACCTGCTGCCCACACTCTTAATGAACTCCAGGACATCATTGGCCTTCTTGGCCACGAGGGCCCGTTGCTGGCTCATGGTGGGTTTGTCCCCCAGCACTCCCAGGTCCTTCTCTGTGGAGCTGCTTCCCAGCAGGTCACCCCTCCTCTGTCCTGCTCCATGGGGTTATTCCTCCCCAGCTGCAGGACTCTACACTTGCCACTTCATGAGTTTCCTCTCTGCCCAACCCTTCAGCCTGTCTGTGTTCTTCTGGGGAATAGTGGTGGCTTTATAAGATGCTGCCCGGGGAGGAGTTGTAGCAGAACTTCAGAGTTCTGGTTTATTCAAGTCATCACTTCACCTAAAGAGCAATGAATTGGGTTGACCTACACTGGATGAAAGGTGCTCTGTATCACAGTAAACCAAAAAATACTCATTCTAGCACCACCTGCTCATTCTAGCACCACCCACAATTTAAAGCTTATTTCATTTTTTTAATTGTTTTTCTCCTCATTCACCAAGTAGAATAAAAACACCAAACCAGTTTATTCTAACTTTGCTTTGTTACCAAACTAGGGCTTTGTGATATTTACGTTCAGTCAACTAGAGAAGCTCAATTTTGGTGGAATATCCTATTGGTAAAGTAAAAACACTTAACATAACATAATATTTCCACTAATCACTGCATGATGTCTGTCACCATCCTTTGCAGGAGCTGCCTTTCTGGGCCATGTGTCCTGCTGCTTTCCACAGTGGTTGACCCTCTCAGTGCCAGGCAATGTCTTTTCCTCTTACCTGCCACCCTCAGGACAGAGGAAAGTAAACCAGGGTGACAGGATTTGAGGAGAAATCTCAATGTAGAAATGATAGCCTTTTTTTTTTTTTTTTTTTCCCCTTTCCATTTTCTAGTGAAGCCACTTCCACCCTCCAACCTCCAAGCAGAGATGAGCAGGGAGGTGGGGCTGCTGAACGTGAGCTGGACAAACCCCCTGTTCACAAACCACGACCTCGGGTTTCAGATCCGGTACGCCGCCAGCGGGGCAGGAGTCCCCTGGGAGGTACTGTCCTTTTCCAGCTAGACCAAAGAACAAGTCGTTGCCGTGCTGCCACTGAGGGTGGGAGCTTTTTTGTGGAGTCTGTGGCATGCAGGGAATCACAGGGATAAAGGATTTTCATTCTCCAAAGAAATATTACTGATTAGGCCACTTTCTCATCGGATTCGCTTTCAGGAATTTTGACTCTTAACAGATGCCAAAACAGCCTTTTGTTCTTACTCTAAGTAAATATTTTTCCTTCTCTCACAGCTTTATGAAGTTTCAAATGCACCAAGATCAGCCCTGATACAAGTTGAGGAGGTTTGTGTTGAGTACGTCGTTCAGGTGCGGTGCAGAGAACTGGCTGGGTCAGGTTACTGGAGCAACTGGAGCCCGCCAGCCTACACGCCTGTGAAGGACATCAGAGGTACCTGTGCTTTCCAAGTGTGCTCTGATGGCCTGTCCAGTTTCAGGCTGAACTGTAACACTGTTCTTTCAAAACTCTGTCATCTTGCAGCTCCCTTACAAGGCCCTGAATTTTGGAGGATTATTACTGAAGACCCAACAAGGAGGCAGAAGAACGTTACACTCCTGTGGAAGGTGAGAACTGTTACATCTTGGTCTTTCACTTGGATCCAGAACCCCTTGGTAGAACTGCTGGAAAGGAAGCATGATGAACAGGTACCACCCTGGAGGCAAACCAGGGCAATCCCTGTTTGTGGGATTTAATGAGCAAGGCCCTGGGGAGGTGACTTCTGTGTTTCTGCCTCTGGCTTGATGGCAAGCAGAGGTTGCTGGTGAATGTTGCTTGTGATACAAGATGAGATGGTTCTGCCTTTGCTCCATCAGCCTGTCCTGGGCTTTACTCCCTTCTCTTGATGTTACATCCCCCCAACTCCTTTCTGATTTTATTCTCTGTCATGTGTCCTGCAGCTGGCACATGTCAGCCTGATTTTGTACCCTAACCATTGCCAAGTGTATAGTAATGTAGCATGACTAAAACTTGCCTAGGGACACCCCTCGAGTCCTGGGATCAGTTTTGGGCTCCTCACTGCACATTGAGGGGCTTGAGCGTGGCCAGAGAAGGGCAACAGAGCTGCTGGGGAAGGGTCTAGAGCCCAGGGGTGTGGAGGAGCAGCTGAGGGAGCTGGGGGTGCTGAGCCTGGAGCAAAGGAGGCTCAGGGGAGACCTTCGGGCTCTGCACAGCTCCTGACAGGAGCCTGGAGCCAGGGGGGGGTCAGGCTCTGCTCCCAAGGGACAAGGGACAGGACAAGAGGAAACGGCCTCAAGTTGCCCCAGGGGAGGTTTAGATTGGACAAGAGTAAAAATGTCTTCCCCAAAAGGGCTGCCCAGGGCAGGGGTGGAGTCCCCACCCCTGGAGGGGTTTCCAAGCCGTGGAGATGTGGTGTGAGGGACACGGGGCAGTGGGGACCTGGCAGTGCTGGGGGATGGTTGGACTGGATGATCTTGAAGTTCTTTTCCAGCCAGAACAATTCAATGATTCTGTGTGATTGCTGTGGATAGCTGAGAGGCGGAGAGGTAGGAGAGCTCAGGACAGACACAGAGGGACAACAGGCTGGTTTCCAGACTCGGGAGGCTCTCAGGCCAGCGCTCTGGACCGAGCTGGTTTCTGCACAGTGGACCCACCACTGGTCCAACTCCACGTACCACAGCCATGCTGAGCTGCATGTGGGGCTGCAGCCCTGTGGAACATCCTTCAGGAGAGCCCTCGGATCTCTGGGCAGGCTGCAGACCTCCTTGCCTTCGTGCAGAGGTGTCAGCTCTGTGCTAGGTGCTCCCCTCAGTCTGTGCTTCGAGCCCTGCTTACACAAGTGCTGTGAAACACAGGCTTAAAATGTTCTGATAGGCAGAAAAATTGACATTGAATCAGACTCGTTTATGGGATGCAGTCCCCATTCAGCTGCTGAGTTCTGCTGACCAAGAGCCCTGAGCAGAACGTGCCCCTGACTCCTAGACAGCTGCCTGTGTAAACACCACCCTGACTGCACATCAGCTGGGCAAAGCCACGTTAAAAGGTTAATGCAGGACAGAGAAAAAAGGGCCTCAGTGACTGCCTGCTCCTGTTTGCCCATGTTCAGTGTGCAAACAGTCACCTCTTCCAGTTTTTCAGTCCTGAAAAATACTGACATAGAATCATAGAGAGTCTGGGCTGGAGGGGACCTCCAAAGCTCATCTAGTCCAACCCCCCTGCCACAAGCAGGGACATCTCCAACTACAGCAAGCTGCTCAGAGCTTCATCCAGCCTGATCTTGAATGTCCCCAGGGATGGGGCCTCCACCACCTCTCTGGGCAACTTATTCCAGGGATCTGTCACCCTCATACTGAAGAACTTTTTCCTAACATCTAACCTAAATCTGCCCTTTTCTAGCTCAAAGCCATTCCCCCTCGTCCTGTCACTCCAAACCCTTGTGAACAGTCCCTCCCCTGCTCTCCTGTAGCCCCTCTCAGGTACTGGGAGGTCACTATAAGACACAAAAACCCCCCATAAAGCAGTAAGTTACTATGGGAGTCTAAAAGTTTGTGTTTCCTTGTCCCCCTGCCCTCCTTTTGCTGGAGAAATAACAGGTAAGTGCAGCAGCTCGCAGAGAGAGGGGAGAAATTAGGTCTCTGAGTGGACTGCAGTGCCTTTGCTAGGAGGACAGGAGCACAGACCACCTTCACTGGGTTGTTTTTTTCCCAAACTGGAGCAATGCCCTCTGCCCCAATGACATTTCCTCCCTGTTTGTGCAGCCCCTGCCCCGGAGCCGCTCGCTGTGCAGCGTGAGCCGCTACGTGGTGAAGCACCAGGCGCCAGGGAAGGGCACGTGGGCAGAGGAGGTTGGCAGTGGCACCAGCTCCTCCTTCCCCTGGACCGAGCACACCCACACCGTCACAGTTTTGGCCGTGAATTCCATTGGGGTGTCTTCCAATAATTTCAATTTAACTCTGTCCCAGCAAATGAGTGCAGGTAAGGACACCGACTGGGGACCGTTCTGAGAGGTGGCAAACGCTAGGAATCCTTGTGGTGCTTTTTGCAAAGCTCTCTTGGTAGTAAAGTTCCCTTTGTTGGGGTGAAAGATATTTTATGATGGTACATTCAGCTGTGGGTGGGAACCAGATTTGGGATCTCACCAACAGAGCTGCTTAAAAAGTGAAATTTCCATCACATGAAAATCTGAAATGCTCTTTGGGTTGGGAAAACAGTTGCCTTTCACCAGGCTGTCTTCCCTCCACTTGACAGGATATGAAGTAATTAATCAAAGAATAATAAAATCTTACTGTAGAACTTGCTTTGTCTTGGGAACACCCAGCATTCCAAAAAAGTTTTTGTTGTTTCCAAGATGAAATGCTGTCTCGTTGCTCTGGCTGCTCACCTGATGGGCTGCCAGGGTACATAGTTTTCAGAGGTTTGGCTTCACTTCCCAAGCAGCCTCTTCCCTGGGTCGGCTGCACTCTGCTTTATAACTAAAATAAAGTCTATTGCTTTTGAACACTTTGGTTGTGTAACATTCACATGCAAATCATATGCTGTGGGAAGCATTC